ACACACACACACACAAACACACACACACACACAGTAAGTCGACACATACAGTTACATTGAAACAGTGTGATATGACTATGGTGAACTCACCAGCGCCTCACAGTGGCTGTGCTTCAACCTGCGGCTCATGTCCAGAGCGGTCTCTCCCAACTCGTTCTCTGTTCACACACACACACACACACACACACACACACACACACAGTTAATTATTAATAATTAACGTTACTATGCGTCTTCTGTCACCAACTTAACTTTAAGAAAAATATTCACGTTTTTTGGAACAAAGACATTTTGGTTATTAGAACGTTTGTTCACTTGTTGAGGCCTGTTTTTAAAAGTAGCACTGCATCCACCACAGTATGTTCCTAATGACGGGTCCTCACAAGTATAGTGTGTGAACATGTGTGACTGTGTGTGTTTGTATTACTGATGTGTGTGTTGGCTCGGGCTCTCAGCAGCAGTTTCACACAGTCGCTCTTGTTGTGCAGACAGCTGTAGTGCAGCGCTGTGTTCCCCGCAGACGTCGGCATGTCAACGTTGGAGCTTTAAAGAAACAACACAATAGACACACACAGGTGAACACACACAAACAAAGTATGAGGTGTAATAACTCCTGAACATCAACCGACCAGTTCTGAGCCAGGAAGTCCAGGATGTGCAGGGACGTCCTGTCGGCCAATAGGACGGCGAGATGGAGCGCGGTCTCCCCTTTTTCCTGTTGGCATGGAAACAGAGTGTGTGTTTAGTTGGGAAAACTTTACCTGTGTGTACCTGTAGCTGTGTACCTGTATGTGTGTACCTATATGTGTGTACCTGAATGTGTGTGTGCAGCGGCTGGCTCAGCTCCATCCTCTGAGCGTGCAGCTGGATCAAACTGTAGATGTCGCAGCTCTTGGTCGCCTCCTGGAGGCCGAGTCGCAGCGTTGCAGTAGAGCTGGGACTCCGCCTCACAAAGTGAACATCCTGGTACTTGAGCAGGATGAAGTCTTTGCGCTCCGTCCTGCACGCCGCCACAACACAGCATCAAATTTACTACAATGAACTACAGTATAACAACAGCAGAAAGACACACAACTGTGTGCGATCGTCTCACATGTGACTGTGTTGAGACGGCTTCAGAGACGGACTCAGCAGGTTCGCCTCCAGTATTTCATTAAAACCAGAGTTACCAACATTCCTGGCCAACTGAAAGAGAGAGAGAGAGAGAGAGAGAGAGACCATCACTGTCTGACTCATACGAGGTCACCGCGACCTTTGACCCTTGTCTACAGTAAGTTCATACTGTACCAGCAGGTCTGACGTCCCCAGACTGTCCAGACTCAGAGACTGGATCCTGGACACGTGGACTCCCATCTCCCTGTGGATCCCTGAACACTCGATACAGGTCAAGATCCCCAGGTTGGTCGAGAGCCATCCAGGATCTAAAGAGAGAGAGAGAAACATCAATGATTAAAAATGTTAAACGAACCCAAACATTATGTTGGTATCAGTGTTGTGTGTAAACTTTGATGTGAACTTTGACGTTAAATAAAATGCATTTCACTTGTTTACAAAAGGTCATAAATTACTCACATTCTGGGAAGTTACAACAAAAAGTTTTCACCTGGTTCATAGTTTTGTTTTAAAAATGAAAAACAATATTAAAGGATAATTGTTGAATTATTTTGTTTCACTAATAAATTCATAAAAATACAAAATTTTTTAATAAAGTCTGGATATTAGAGGTTTCATAAGACTCATTATTGTTGAAACAACCCGTTTAAATAAAGTGTCTTCAAACATCGATGTGTGGTTATAGTGGCGTGAAGACGAGGAGGGAGAAAATACATTGACTGATTGATTGATTGATTGATTGATTGATTGATTGATTGATTGATTGACGGAGCTCACCTGGAGCTCCACAGTCACAGCAGTTGTTGTTCCCTGGCATCCGCCTGATGTCGTCGGTGATGGCACGGGTCAGATCCTCCACGCTGCTCTCCCCTCCTCCTCCCCCTAGCCTCCCCCCATCCAGTGCCACGCTCAGAGCCTCCTGCTTACTGTTACTGAGCACCGAGATCCAGCTGAACACACACACACACACACACACACACAAAGACACACACACGGTAGATTTTAATACTAGATCAAAACAACTATCTGACTCTTCCAATAAAGTTTATTTATTTGTTACTCACGCCACACACTCAGCTTCATCTTCAGCCAGGAAATGATACGTCCGATTATCTGGAAGACAAAATGTTTGTTATATATTACATTGTGTGTGTGTGTGTGTGTGTGTGTGTGTGTGTGTGTGTGTGTGTGTGTGTGTCTTACGAGAGATGAGGTCAAAACATTTCTTGTCCTCCACGCTGGGTTTAACCTGACAGGTGAGTAGGTTGAGTCTGGTCGGAGGTTTATTAGGCTGAGAGAGACAGAAGGGGGGTTTGAGAGGTATATATACACACACACAACCACACACACACACACACACACACACACACACACACATGTTATTAATTTATATAAGTGTCTATCGATCCTCTAATAACCAGTGAATCTGCAAAGTGCTGATATAACAAATGTCGCCTAATTAATCAGTATCACCTTATTTTTCATGAGCAGTTTGAAAAAATAATGAGAAAAGGTGACGAGCAGATCAGCCCTGAATTAAAATGAATATCTGGTCAATAAATATGTGAGAAAGATTATGATAATGAATGGTCATAAATCATTCTAAACAAAGACGTCACTATTGATTACTGATTATGTTTGTATCGCTGAGTCTACAGAAAATATGGAAAACTAACATATTCACTTTACAGTGATAAATGCTGAAGTGAAGCAACACAAGCTCTTTGAGTTTGAAAATGATTCATTGATTATCAAAATATTTGTTGAGCTCACAGTTGCATGTGCGATGGTCAGGTAACAGTTATGAACGGAACATTTCCTTTTCTGCCACATTTTCCTCAACCTGAAACACAAACAGACTCAGTGTTAGTTGTGCGACTAATGTTGATCAGCACTTTATTGTGTTGTGTTTTTACCCGTCACTCTTCTTGTAGAGGAATCCGGCTCTTTCTGTTCCGTAATGTTTGTCTCCCAGCAGCTGATGCATACTGTACACCTGCTTCGGCAGAGAGTCCTACACACAGACACACACACACACACAGTTTAATATCCTGTTGAACAGTGTCGTCGTGTCAGTGTCAGTGTTTGTGTGTCTGACCTGCTCCGTGTGGACGACCGGCCTCAGCTGATCTCTGAGAGAACACAGTTGTCTCTTCTCGTCTTCCTGACGCTGCTTCACCTGCAGACACACGACAGCTCGTCTCCGCAGTTCAACTGAGCCCTGCTCCTCTCGTGTGGCTTCACTAATCCAGGCTGACGTGATGTTATCAGGCTAAAATCATCTGGTTAACTTTGTTTGTTAAATGCAGTGAGAGGTTGTTTGATTGAACCTAAGAGGCGACTCCCTGTTTGACCTTCTGTCCGGCACCATCTTTGTTTCTTGAAACCAGAAGTTACCATATTTGGAGGAGCAGGGGGTGGAGCCTGACTGAGAGCTAGAAATGATTCTCACTTGATTAATAACTTTTGTGTCTCAATCTTCTACAATAAATGATCATTTTCTAATTCATTTCCATTTTGAGTCAAATAGACGACAAAGCACCATATGCTAGGAAATGTGATTGACAGCTAGTACCGTCAAATGGGTGCAGGTCGCAGGTGTAAGTGGGCGTGCAATGTCCTCGAACTCTGTAACAGGCTCCACCCCCTGCTCCTCTCAATATGATTACTTATGTTTTTTTTTAAAAACAAGATGGCGCTGGACAAAATGTCAAACTCGAGGCTTCAAAACAAAAGCTCACAGAGCGACGGGGGGACGTCACTGAGGGTTGACGCTTGATTCTAACTTGTTTCTGGGTTTTAGTCCCTGCAGCTCTGTGAGTCATCGTCGTACCGTGGTCAGGACTCCGTTCAGCTCCTCCATGTACTGCTTCAACCGCTGAGTGGTGGAAACACACTCCTGCAGGAAACTACACACACACACACACACACAGATACAGTTAATAATGTCTTTTTAAACATGTCGGCCTGACAGCGTGTTTGCGTGTTCTTACTTGTTGTGGCTGTGGTAGTGTTTGATGAGGTTCTGCAGCAGGTCCACGCCTCTCTTTGTCTTTATCTCATTGACTTTGATGAGATACTGAGAGAGAGAGAGAGAGAGAGAGACGGCTTGGTTTTAAAGAGAAGACGGATGTGCTGCATGTTTTGTGATGGATGAGTTTCAGAGTCGCTGAGAGGACAGAGTGAAGAAGTGTGAGGGACGATGATCAAGAGGAGCATTAGAGAGAGAAACTAGCTTCAGTCTACATACAATGTTTAACTCATATATATAGTCACTGTGACCTTTGACCTTTGACCTCCACAGTAAAATCAGTTCATCCTTGAGTCCGACTGATCATTTGTACAAAAACCTGAGATATCATGTGAACAAGAATGGGACGGACAGACGGACAACCCACAAACATAACGCTTCTATCCACTGACTGTCGCAGGAGCGGAGAAATACAAAAGAAGACAAAGAAGGAGAGGAAGAGAGAGAGAAGGAGAAAAAGGCGCAGGGCTATTCCTTCATTTGCATCCCTCGATTTTATCCAGAGCTGGAAGGATTTACTGGTGAAATGTAAGAAAAAAATCAAAGGAGAGAATTGGGATGTTCCCTCAGGTGAAAGTGATGGAATAGGAGGGGGCACGGTGTGTGTGTGTGTGTGTGTGTGACTGACCTCACACATGCTCAGTTGGAACGAGCGTCTCTCCTTCTCCAGCTCCTCTGCGATCTCCCCCCCGCTCACCTCGCTCCTCACCATCCCGTACTGACGAGCCAACTCCCTCTTCTCCTTCTCCACCTGCTTACTGCAAAACACGACGTGTGAGACCTCGTGTGTGGAGCTGAACCGATCTTTACAGAAAGAGCTGAAGTAAAACATTCCTGGAGAGCGAAGCCGAGAAAAAACCCCCACGATTGTTTGAGGGTCACTTACAATCGGCTCTCGTAGTCCCTCCACGCTCTGTCGAAGGGTTTCTTCAGATCCTGTGGAGACGAAGACAAGCGGGTGAGAGACAGCGCCACCCTGAGGCCACGTGAAGCTCATATGGGGCAGTGACAGAAAGCAATAAATTAAAAAGAAAGTCCTCACCCCCTTCACCTCCCTCAGGTCGCCTTTAACCAGGGAGTCCAAGAAGAAGTGGATGTTGTGGAGCATGCTCTTTAGCTGCACACACACACACACACACACACACACACACACACACATTCAACGATTCAATGCAACATTCAGTGAAATGATCTTTTTCACTCAAATATCATGAATATCATTTTTAAAATATCTACTTGAACGATACGATTAAAGTAACTTCCACTGTCAACAACAATAATAAACTAGAGTGAGACTCGGTAGAGTTAATAGAGTTTGTATCCCTGGTTAAAACACATTTATTTGTTTGGATCTGCACCAAATTTACAGGGTTCCTCTCTGACTCTAACAACATCGTTCTACCGAGCTTCATGTAAAATGCGTCACTCACCAGGTTCTTCATCGGAGAGACGAGCTCTTTAGAGAAGTCCGCCAGGCGATAGAAGGCTGAGCCCACCTCCGTCTCTCCGTTTGAGTGACAGTTGACCGAGAGCTTCTCCATCGAATGAATGTACTGCTCCAGGTGAGAGACGTGTTCTGAGAGAGAGAGAGAGAGAGAGAGAGAGAGAGACAGTGTCAGAGATCAGAGAGTGTGTGTGCGTGTGTGTGTGTGTGTTTATGTGTTTGTGTGTTTGTGTGTACCTTGTCCTGAAGTATATTTGGCTTTAGAAGCTTTCTTCATTTTCTGCAACACCAGACGGTCACTGTCCAGAGCCTGAACACACACACACACACACACACACACACACACACACACACACACACACACACACACACACACACACACACACACACACACACACACAC